AATTTAAATGTGTCGTACAAACCCTTTTCTTGGCTCCATTTTATTGAAGATATTGACATGAAATGAAACGATACTGCAGAACATCTAAAAGATTGTTTCGTTCATTATTCAATAACATGTACATGTAAATTTTCATGCGAGAAAATAGCGTTTGTCGACACCGCCACATTTGTGAAAAAAGGAGTCATGACAACTGATCTCCAAACAAAGAAAACTGACAAACACCGAAACACTGCTTCAGGAGCATTCCTTACAGTCAGGCCATCAGACTAAAACGAATTTGCTCCTCGGAATCCAAACTCAACTACCGTTTTGGACCACTCCGAAAACAACTACAATCAAGAGGATATTAAAAACAATAATATCACAGAAGCTTTCGGTGAAGCCTAAGAAAAAGATCTCAAGATCCTCATCAGACTAAAACGATTTGCTTCTCGGAATCAAAACTCAACTACTGTTTTGGACAACTTCGAAAACAACTAAAATAAAAATAACATAAAAACAAAAATATCACAGAAGCTTTCGGTAAAGCCCAAGAAAAAGATCTAAAGATCCTCATGAAATACAAATATAAAATAACATGCACAATATAATTTCGTATGTTGTCACCTTCCATCCCGACTGACAACAATTTCATCGCAAAACCATAATATCAAAGAGATACTTTATACATCTAAAGTAAAAAAAAACAGAGACCTCTAAAATCGGGTGTCATAAACAATGCGGAAGAAGCATTTGTAAGAGTTGTAAAGTCGCCAGCGCTGAAAACTCTTTCACCAGCACAGTAACAAAGCACCGATACAGCATCTATGTTACATCTTATTGTTAAACGGAAACATGGGAAATAGTATCTTTATTCTTAGTGCGGAATCGCAAGCTGCAATGTGTTTGGGAAACAGATACTAAATTCAACATTAGACTTAATAATCACCTATCATTTTGAAAATTTACCTATTAAGTCTGTTTGTTTTGATCACACATTGTTGTTAGTATAATGGAATTTTATGCGACTGTCATACAAGTAAGAGGTTAAGCTAGCTTTAAAACCAGGTTAAATACATCATTTTCTACATTCGAAAATGCATGTTCAAGTCAGGAACATGACAGTTGATGTCCATTCGTTTGATGTGTTGGAGCTTTTGAATTTTCCAGTTTTTGAGGGACTTTCCGTTTTGAATTTTCCTTGGAGTTCATTAATTTTGTTGTTTTACCTTTTTGTATACCAAAAGAAGAAACTGCCCAATCAAGAGACAACTCTAAAGAACTAGGCATACTTTTGAAAATATCAGCTTTCAAATAATAGAGGAAACCAAAATTTGGACACCCAAAGTAGAAAACAGAGAGAGAGAGAGAGAGATTCTGGATGCATCAGCTACATACTCTTGAACCAGATGAACTGAATACAAAACTAAAGGAATAAATCTTTAACTTCTTACTATTTAACCAACACAATTATTTGTTTTGTTTTGAGAAACGCAATGCATAATAAACTGCAAAACTATATTTGAAAGACAGGTACAGTTAGCTGCAAAAATTTATTTACGGCATTCGATTTTTTTAACTAGATGGCTGCACGCGCCTGATGAAGCTAATTTGTTTAGCAAAATATTGCGTGACTATATAAAATGTATCAAATTTTTGTATAACACTAATTCATGTGTTAAAGTTATATTCTTAGGCATTTATACAATTTAATTTAGTAACTGCATCAGTTAATTTAAAACGGATCCACGCCTAGATAGATTGAATGTTGATTGTTGCTATTTTTAGACACTTTGTATATATAAAACGTCTATATCAATATGTTAAATGTTTGTAATCAACTAGCTTTTGTAAAGTATTCAATTTATATACTAATTAAATCATTTTTCATATACATGTACAAACAATGACAAAACGTCCTCTCTTAAGTATAATACTTATAACATGTCGTAACAGTTACTTTGACACTTTACTGGGATAAACAGTCTCCTTATACATGTTATACCAGATAGTATCGGATAAACTAGTACACAATGGAAACCATGGTAAATTCCATTTGTATTAAACGTTTTATACAACCTTTTACTTTATCTAAAAAAAATCATAAAATTGCAATACAGCAAGATAGACATGAAAATAAACCTTGGTTACGTTATATATATTTTTTATTTTATTTTTTCTAGGATTATAACAACTGGTTGCAGTTAGGTAAGATTTCATGTTAAAATGCTTTTTAGCTTACGGTCCTGTTTTTTTCATAATTGATCAGTGAGCTTATGTACTGTTATGTGTCTGTTTGTCTGTTGGTCTTGTTTCTTTTTTAGCCATTGCGTTGTCAGTTTGTTTTTGACTCATGCGTTTGAATGTCCCATTGGTATCTTTTGTCTCTCTTTTATGAGTCGTTTTAAACACATATTGTTTTTGTCGCGTTCTGCACTAACGGATTTCCTGTATATGATTTTAATTATTATTGATGGAAAATAACTGTCTTGCATGCGAATATAGATCATCCCATTTTTTCCCGTCGATGTTCAATGGTTCTCTTCAGGCCGCTTGGCTTACTGAGGCAATAATAACAGACCGCCAAAAAATAGCCAATAGCACCTGATTGGAGGTAAACATCAACAGTCAATCAAACAATCAATCCAATTAGAGTATATATAATGGACATTTATATTACAAACAGTAGATATACACTATTTATCGTTTTGAAACAAACGTGTTTTTTTTATAAAGGGCGTGTTTGTTATACGCTGACATGGAAGACAACACAAATGACCAAACATATGTAGAGGGCATTTTAAACCTCCAAGCTGGTTTTAACGTGTTTCCGAGTGTTAGTTTGTGTTTATTGCTATTCATTCTTTTGATAAGTTTCATATAGTTTCGACTTTCACTGATGAGAATCACAGTATCTAATAGGACATTGGTATAAATGTAGGACTCGGTGTAATGGGAACGCTGATGTGTGATGGTCACGCTAAAATTGGATGGTCTGCGCTGAATTGCGATAGTCTATATACCGTTTCAAACTTTCAAACTAAATAGCAGATACATGTTATTTTTGCTGACTATGGACATTATTCTGCATCAATCGTTTATCTTTACTTGGTGCCTCTCAGAAGTTATACGTTTGCCGTAATATTGTAATATGGAGATAGTGTTGGCGGACAAGTATGTATTAAGAGAATGCCTTACTCCATCGTCTATACACAAACAAACCTTAAGATTTAAAAAATTAAAAGATTCATTGAAATAGGCTGAATTTCCACTGTCTTTTCTGGTTGTACGTACAGTTTATAAGGCCCATTTCTCATTTTGTATATGAATAAGCTATATGACTTGAATTTGACTATCAATCAATATATTGTTCTTTATATGTTTCATACATAAGAAAGTTGTGGTTCTGGTATCAAAACCCGTCTTGTAGCATGAACGTTGTGATTGAGATGGTATTCCGTGATGGGATCCTGATAGATTGACGAAACCGGATTACATGTTCCTCCCAAACATGGAATATTTTCTCGAGTTGCAATAAAAACACATATGGTGATAAGTTTATAAGCTCCTTATATTATCATTTAGTACGCTTTTGAGTCGTTGAAACTATAACCGGTTTTAATGGGAAATAAACTCTGAACGATGTAATGCACGTAGGCTCTTTTTTTAAAAAGTATATCAAAAAGGTAAACTACAACGGTCAAAATAAGACTGGAAATGCACAATTTTTATTTCTTACTACTTTTCTGGTTAAAACGGGTTATGAATTTGATCATTGACTTAAAACGCCTTTGAACTTGTATTATACATGTTATATTTGCCTTCGGGTTTATATTATCCGTTCATCCTATTTCGAATATTCAAAATTTCAGATTTATTCTTAATTGAGGTAAATTATATGGCCTTCTAAATACCGTTTCGATTCCTAACATCGCTGAAGAGACATGTGTTATGGAAATCCCAATATGGTGTACACATTTTTGCACCTCATGTTTGAGGTATACTATCTTTTCCGACGTTTATTGTTTTCTATTTAGTATTGAATTAATGATTAGGATCCATTTTGTTATATCTGGTGATCCGTTTATTTGGCAATCGCCATGGCAGTCTACAGGGTTTAAGAACATCCGTTGTTCGACCTGCTAGTCAAATGCGTTTTGTTAAAATATACTTTTCACTTTTTCAGTCTTTCGGACATGTTTGTGATGTATTCATACCTCTCAACCAAGACATTTGTTTTGCTTGCACACGTATGAAAATTGCGGTTTTTATCCAACACAATCATAGGTTTGAACGTTGTTTTCAATTAAGACTTGTTTATAATTTTTCCTTTGGGTTGGTATTATATTTGCCTTTGGGTTTATATAATCGGTTCATCCTAATGCGACTCTTTAAAATTCAAGAGTCAATCCTAAATTGATGTTAATTGTAAAGTCTTCCAAATACAGTTTCAATTCCTAACATCACTGAAGAGACATTAATTGTCGAAATCCAGATATGGTGTACAAATTTGTGCACCTCATGTTTGTGGTATACCATCTTTTCTGCAAGTTTATTGTTTTCTGTTTGGTATTAAATTAATAATTACGATCCATTTTGTTACATCTGGTGATGTGTTTTTTTGGCAATCGCCACGTAAGTCAGCAGGGTTTTAGAACAACCGTTGCTGGAACTGCAAGCCAAATGCGTTTTGTTAAAATAACCAGCCCTTGGATGGTGTAAACTTCCCCAAAAAACGTGTATGGTGTAATGGTGTATTGCATATGGTACAATGGTAGAAGGTGTATGGTGCTGTGGTGTATGGTGTAAGGGGAATGGTGTAATAATTTTATACATTAATCTACAATATTGTGATGAAAATTCGTTTTTTTAAAATAAATAAATAATTTAGTAGTCGCACGCTTTCTTTTAAATTAAATTGCATTATGGAAAATTTCGGATGGTGTAGATAGAATGGGGAATGGTGTATGGTTTAATGTGTAAGGTATATGGTGAAAAAATGTAACGTGTATGGTGTAATGGCACAGGATGTTGGTGTAATTGTGTATGGTGAATGTTGTAATGGTGTATTGTGTTAGTGGGAAGTTAACACCATCCAAGGACTGTACTTTTTCACTTTTTTGGTCTTTTGGAAAATGTTGTTTGGCTGTATTTAGACCCCTCCACCAAAAAATGTAGTTTGCATGCACACGTATATAAACTGCAGTTTTTATCTAACGCAATCATAGGTTTTAACGTTGTTACATCCGCCGTAAGGGATAATATTCAATAATCGTTACACACATCACTCCGCTACACTTCATGTTTATGCTCCGTTAGGTGATAGAACGTTTTTAAAAACACCATAGTCAAATAATGTTTTATCCAACAAAACACTTGAAAAGACATTTATTATATCTAATTATTTGTTTACTTTCTAACAAGATCGTAAAAGAAATACTATTTTTTGGACTTTTTACTTATTTTGAAACCTGTATTGGTTTACAAAGCTTCATTTTCTTTGTTTATTCCATTTCAGGCTTAATCATTTCCCCTTTCCTATATTTTTACAAAATGTATTTTACCTTCTCCAAACTTACTATCTACTTCTCTTATCTTCAATATTTTATGAATCACTCCGTTGAGTAGTTCTTTCTTTTTAGAGCATCCTGATTTTGCTCTGTACCTTTTTATCGAAGGCGTGGTCGGTAATAAAGTTATCCTCCTGTTCCATCTTTTCATTATTACTCTGTTGTTTGAAATAAATATTATTATTAAAATTAGGTCTTTCCACTTTTCTGTGAAAAGACCTATTGATTTCCCCTCTGATTATTATTTTATTTTTCTTCTTTTGCCACTTTTATTTCTTGCGTATACGTTTTGTTGCGCAAGATGTCGCTTAGCTGTTTGATATGATATCGCACATTTTATGCACCTTTGAAATTGACCCTCCTTAACCGAATACTTTTCTTTTGTATGCATTATCTCCCCAAACACTGTTTTGCTTGTGAGTGCATCTTCTCCGTAACCGTAAAAGAAATTTAGTTAACCAAATTGCTCGTTATATCCTCATGATGTTTTGTCCAATTTTGACCGAAGCGATACGAAGACTCTATATGAGTGTTATTTCCCTTTCTGAATTTTACATAAGTGATACATTAATAGCATGAATGGTAAGTGATAGAGACATAAGGTGTATTGATTTGGGGTCCTTGGTTCACAAAAATAAAATTGAGGTCAAGGTCAAAGGTCAAGGTCATATTCTAAATTTTGACTTTTCCTTGTTTTATGATCTCTTCTGTCACTTATATATAAAAGAACTAGTGCAATATGATTGCCTGATTGTGATGAAGATATGATACATTTGGTCTGAAACAATCCAATGTCATCTTATAGGAGTAATTGTCTCTGAAATGATTAAATTTAAGGTAAATTGCTTATTACTTCAACTTGGTACATGATAAAGCCATAGGGTCTTTTACAAACTGTTGGTAAACCTAAAAACATTATTTATATTTTAAACACGTATACATAAACCTATCATTTGAGACAGGAAGTGACCTTCAATAAACCGGAAGTACCTAATATCTCCATTATTACAGTCAAAAGTATATAGAAACCATATATTTAGAAAAGTGTACGCAGTTAATTTAAATCGTCTGAAGGCATGCATTATTACTACCCTCTGTTAAAAAATTTATTACAGCAACACGATGGATGCCCCACTGGTTGCTTTTGTGATGTGTATTCCCTAGTATTTATTTTAAAATATTAGGATTATTTATCAAATGTGTTCTATTCATATCAATTACAACTCAATTATTTGCTATGTCTTTCTAGCTTGTTTAAAAATCACATGTGTTATGCGGTTTTCATTTTGAAAAGTTTGAGTTGTAATTAATTGTTATCTCACCTGATGCAATGGGTCAAGTTGTTTTCTTCTTTTTTTAGTCAATTTAAAACCAAAATGTTCTCCTCTGAAATAACAAGGTCAAAAAGAATAAGATTTGGATACCATCAACATTTATAAAATTGAGAATGGAAATGGGGAATATGTCAAAGAGACAACAACCCGATCAAAGAGCAGACAAAGGCCGAAAGCCACTAATTGGTCTTCAACGCAGCGAGAAAATCCCGCGCCCGGAAGTGGTCCTCAGCTGCCCCCTAAATATATTGTGTACTAGTTCAGTGAAAATGGACGTCACACTAAACTCCAAAACATATAAATAACTAAAATTAAACTAAAATTAAAAACATACAAGACTTACAAAGGCCAGAGGATCCTGACTTGGGACAGGCGCACAAATGCGGCGGAGTTAAACATGTTTTGTGAGATCTCAACCCTCCCCTTTTACCTCAAGCAAATGTAGAATAAAGAAACACATAGCAATACGCACAGTAAAACTCAGTTTAAAAGAAGTCCGAGTCCGATGTCCGAATAGGTAACAAAAGAAACTAAGTAAAATGACAATGATACATAAATGAACGAAGGACTACATGTAATAGCAGTTACTGACATGCCAGCTCCAGACCTCGGTTAAACTGATTGCAAGATTATGTCTTCATCATATGAAAATCAAGTACACTCCCTCCCGTTATGGGTTTAGTATCATAAGAAGAACATAACCTGCATCATGCCAACAGCTGGTTTTAGAATAAATGTGTTTATTTCCGATGCAAAGACCCTATTAGTGAATCAATATTAATACCAGGATATGAAATCCATAATGACTTGACAACAGTATCGTAACTATATCCTTTTCGAATAAGCCGTTTAAATGTATGGTTAGCAATTGATGTGAATGCCGACATGTTTGTGCTTTGTAAAGAATATGACCATAAAATATTCGATGTGAAATACCTGAACGTATAATATGTCTGCATGTTCATTTATATTTACGAATGATGTCCTTCAATAATACAGAGATTTCTTTCTTTGAAATCAAATACGTTGTTACATACACGAGCGAATCGAACACGTTGAGATATATAAATATTAAAAGATGGTGACAAGGGAACGTCCTCATCTTAAAATGGATAATTAACAATAGAAAATGAAAAATCATCACTTTTATCATAAATTTTGGTATTCAGCTTCCCGTTAAAGATATAGATATCAAGATCCAAGAAAGGGCAGTGTTTATTGTTAGTCTTAGCCTTATTTGAAGTCAGTTTCGGCAGGATAAATCTCTTTAGTGTACATACTGAAGTCGTCATTATTGAGGGCCAATATATCGTCTAAATATCTAAAAGTGTTATTAAATTTTTGAATCAGATGTTGTGTCGATGTATTCATTTTAATAAAAAATGTCTTATGAGCATGCTTGCTTACCAACATGGCCTACACGGCAAAACAAATAATTAAGGGGTAAAATGAAAATTGTGTCTATTATCTTAAAAACCCCTTTTTATAGAAAAAAATTGACATTGGCAGAAATGGTCACTATACTGTCAGTTACCTCTGAATAAGAGTCATTGCCCAAAAATAACGTGTTTTGCATTCTTTTAGAATATCTTGAAAACTTGTCCTAAAAGATAGAGAGAAACTGTAAAATGCAAACATGATCAGAAGGACAAGATCTATCAATCGATTTAATGACCTTTATCTTCATTCGACTCCTTGCATTCGTTATTGTACCTAAATGACAATACTTACCAATTCTATTTTTCTTTAATTTGTATCTTCAACGCTATATTATAAATCTGTAATATATCATGAGAAACTTTCGTTATCAAAAAGTATCAACAGAACAATTTGAACACATTTGTCCACATTGGTACATGCCAAACATCATCATTTCTGCAATTCTTTTGGTCAAATCTATAGTAATTACACAAACACGATCAGTAAGACAGAATTTATAATCGGACAGCAAAACTGAAATTGTAAAGGACCCCTCATCAGATTTATTTCCCTTCATGACAAGTTTACCTTTTTTAAGTGTTGGCAAACACCGAAGTAGAACAGAAAATAGTACAACATTATCAGCGACACAAGATCAACAAACAAGAGATCTGAATCATTAATTATATTCTAGTTTTTAATAATGAAGATGCACTTATATCAAGGTGAGAGAGACAGGCTTAGTTGAGTCTCTAGTTCACTTGTTTTTATTCTGTTATGAGGATGTCATCCTCTATTCCATATTTTAGTTCTTAAATTAATATATTGTTGAATTGAGCGACATTTTCTAGGTTTACCCGTTGAGGTTAATCAATTTGACAAAAGTTCAGCTGGAGTATTTGCCAGTTTATTAGAGGAAGAAGGATACTGCCATTATGAAGCTCGAGTAATGTTAGCAGGAGAACAAGGCACTGGTAAAACTACAATTGCAAGATATCTGGTGGGCAAAGGTCCAAGAAAATTCAGATTATCAACTGATGGGATTGATTTATACAATGGTTTGTCATTTATTAACCGTGAGGCAGAAGAATGGATGCAGGGTAAACAAGGTAATGATTGAATGTAAATTCTTTACATTATGAATAAAATTTCAACAGATCCTAACTATGGTTAACTGTTCAACTACTTATTCCTAATGCGAATTTAAGCTAGAAAACTGTACATTTGAATCTGTTGCTATTAGCCTCAAATGTATGTTGTCACAAATTAACCCACAAAATACAGTGAATGATCTTGTTATTCGAATCCTAACTATAAATAAAGATTGACAATTGGTGGAAAAATAAATACTGATGTAGATTACACAGAATGAAATATGATTCATTCTGACAGAAAACATTTCTTTTCTATGCCATACAATCGTATCTTATTGGTAAATATATTTCAATATAGAGAGTGCATGATGAGTTTGCAGAGAAATGTTACTTAAAACGATCAGTAAGGAAAGATACATAGATATAGGAAGATGTGGTATGAGTGCCAATGAGACAACTCTCCATCCAAGTTACAATTTATAAAAGTAATGTATATTTAGTTTTGTTTTAGAAAAAAAAATAATATATGTATTCCTGCAATCTAAAGTATCGAATATATCCATAATTAACACATTGGTTAATTTATTTGGACAATATCTTCACTCTATCATTACAGTTAGTCTTTGTTTACAAAATAGTTTAGTAGCTTGTTTTCATTCATTGTCAGTGTAATGTCATTTTTATAACAAATCAATAAACAATTCTAAGATGAGTTAGTAAAAGGGAATACATATGTTTTAATAGAAGAACCCAATCAAGAGCAACTATTTACAGGTAGATTAAGATAGACGACCTTGTTGTTAATTTATCTAGAAAAAAAATGATTATCGTTCTAAACTTAATGGAATAGTGTCATGTCAAGTTTTGATTTTGTTCATCAGTGCCCCAGAAAAAGAACTATTTTTCGCAGACTTTCGTTAGCAGGAATGGTGATTATAAAAAATAAACTTACTCTTGTAAATTTGTTTGGGAAAAAGTAATGGAGACTACGTTCTACATTTCAATCCGTGCCCCTTGGTATCTTCTTTTTGTTAGAGATCAGGTCTATGTAGGCGCCATTATGGTGCTTAGTTCTAAAACGATTGATATGTTTGGGCTTCCAAACGTGTTGTCATAATTGTCTTGATCATACCTTATACATGTTCTAAAACAAATCTAGTGTACAATTATATCGATATCGTACAATGCACGTTTGTTATGTGAACGGGACATCAATCAACAATATTGTAGTCAGCACATAAAACTTAGGCGCAGTTACATTGCATCCATACGTTTATTTGGGAAATTGAATTCTTATTTGGTTTAGTTTTTGACTTTCTATAAAGAGATACTAAATATCTGTTTACAAGCATGTTTCACCGTTTCAGTCAATATATTTTTAGATTTTACATTATCTGAAGTAGCTATCAGTAGAGCTTTACCTCAAAATGAAGATTCTTTAACAAAGCGCAAAAAAAAAAGGATCAGCGTCAGCTCAAGTTGAAGTTGTTTCTGATGGACTAACTCAAAGCCCGTTATCATCGGAAAGTCTTTCACCAGTAGCTGAGAATGATAAATGTTGTGACTCTACAACTGCAATTGATTTATTGCGTAGTGACGAAATACATCCAAGAGAAAAATCGTATATCAATAATGAAGAAAATGATCCATTTCCCGTTCAGAGTGAAATATTGAACTCTAAATTAAGTAGCTACAGGATAGATATTGGGCAGCCCTCAACTGAAAGGAAAATATCTGAAAAAAAGAAAAATATAAGAAAAGCAGCAGTAGAGCCATCCCCAGTTATCTTAGAACAATCCTTCGACGATACCAAACAAAGAAGAAATATTATAAAAACTCCTCCTTCAGTCCTTAGGCAAACTACACCGGATATATTGAATGTAGTTGTTGTTCCGACAACTGCGTTATCAGTCCCTGCGAAGGAAACACAATATTTTAGTTACGCAGGTATGTCTTTAACGATTACGATCCAGTTAACTGTTATCTACAACCTATTTACAATATGTTAAGAGCGAAAAAAAATTGATTCAGAACAGGTATGACAACTTATATACATGAACATATAAACAAAGTAACACTTTGTAAATTGCGTGTGACCATAGCACTTTCGCAACGCTCAACCCTAATAGACCCGTATACAATACACGACACTTACCCTAACACAAGAGCAATACTGAGAATCATCGTATTTTTAATTAATATCCATGTATACTTTCTTTTGAATTGCTTATAATGAATAAGCCAATTGGACTTTTAGCTAAAGAAGCTGAAATCCTCCTCGCCTACTAAGATTAGCAGGTGTCCAGTTCATAAAATTACATCTCAAATATTATCCAGCTGGCATTTCTGGCAAAAATATGGACTCTACAAAGTCAAGCTTAGTTTTACAAAGTCCATTGGACTAAAAAAAGGTGCTCCATTTTCATAGGAATATGTTTTATGAATTTTTCTAAATGCTAAAAAATTAAGACACCATACTGTTATTGAGTTGAATGGTCGATGGATAATATCCCATTTTGATTGAATATCTAGGGAAAACATCATATCTAATATTTTGGGAAAGATTACGTCTGTTAAAAAGAACAACCATATAAAACAGTCCTTACAAACTTTGAAAGCATCTATGTTTTGAAGAAAAAATCTTTTAAAGTTTATTCTTTTGCAACATTTTTTTTGTATTTCTGTAAGAGCTGATGTCAATTTTGGAGTCTGAAGTACCACTCATATACGATTTATCATTCTACCTAAATGTTTATGTCCTCAAAAGTCATGCCGTACTAATTGTGTGTCCTTATTGCAAACAGTACTGTTGGACTTTTAAAAGGATATACCAGCTGGGAAATGACGCATGTATAGGAAAAACTACGTGTCCGGCGCATGTTGATGGTTGAAATAAGCTGTTTGTCTTGAAAAAAAAACGTTGAAAAAGCATTAAGCACCTTTAATTTAAAAATCAACATGTATCATTGGAATGATGTTTCCGAGGTGAAAAAAAAACCATTTAGGAATTAAAATAGTACGTGTGTGCTGTGGTACTACACATACGCCTACACTAACCAATGCTTGATTGAATATCCCAATGTAATGGTTGTAACTTTTTAAAACCTAACAAAATGTACAATGAACAAGAGGAGGTAAAATCCATTATGGTGCCATACTTTTGGAAAATAAACCAGTATTATGTTATTTGAAGCCAAAAATTCAATGAAATTAGGCCGGGGTTACTCTGGCACAGTCTTCATTTTGCTATCTGAAGACATCTGGTCAATAACAGTGCTGAAAAAATGCATTTTGTTTTAATATTTAAACACTGGTTAGCCTCTTTGATGCAACAATTTGCGTTCTGAAACCTAATTTCAAAATGTATACGAAAGGCGTTTTTACAGATAAACAATCTCAAAACAGAAGATACATGAAGGATATTCAGTAACCCATTTCTGGCGGTCGAACATTTAAAAAAAAGTAAACTGAAATCAAAGCAGCACTAGAGCTATCCCATTTTTTTTTATCAGAAGTCTCATATAAAGAATAAACCCCATGAAGAGAGAATAAAGTTATTAGTCACTTGTTAGTCCCTTATGAAACTAATCCGGGTATATATTTATGATTATTTTATTCTAACATTTGATTCGTTTGTCTATTGAACACAAACACAAATTTATCGGGAAGGTTTTCATTAACAATTAGAAAATACGAGTGTGTACAGTTAAAACTATCAAAATTTAAACGGAATTATAAACAAGACAAACAAAAACATATATGACAGATATGAATGATATATAGGTAGTGTTTTATGTCAAATCAATGCTTCATCAACTTAATTTGTTTAACCAATGGAACATTGTATACAGTACTTGCAACCTTAGGCGTTACTGTTTTAGCGATCAATCAGCAGTCATCGATCAGTCACCGATCAGTCAAGTTCGCGTCAAACTCACGTCACCAATCCGTCAGACTTATAGTAAAAGTAATTGACTGATCGGACGGATCGGACGGATCGGACGGATAGAACCGATCGACCTGTCTGACGGATTGAACTCTACTACGTCACATGATAGACTGATACAAATTACTGAATCTTAGTTTCGTTTAATTTAATTAAAATGGCGACATGTACAATACAAAACGTTCAAGTACAACTGATCAACATTTTTCATTCAGCAAAGTTTAATGAATTTAAATGAAAAGAAAAATACAGATAAAACCTAAATTTAAATACTATCATTAAAGAATGGTCATTTTCGTTTTTATTAAGGTTATATATTTTCAAACTCGGAGAGTTCTAAAACGGTGTTTATACATCGCGATTCTGATTTTATTAATTTCCGAAAATACTCTGGAAAATAAAATGAAATGATCAGTTATTGAAAATGTTGGTGTATTCTTTTTAATATTTTAAAGTTTTGTATTTTTATAATCTTAATTTTTTTAAAAATAAAACTTATCTCAATCGAGGCCATTAAAATAACAAATTACAAATAAAATTGCTGCATTTTCTCTAAAGATAAGAAATATTGGTAATTTTAAACAATGCGAACAACATTTTAGTATATTTTTCTGTTATTCTTTCAATTTAATGAAAAACAACCAATCCGAAACTATAAAAAGTACAAAAATCCAATTGCAGTCAATAATTTCTATAAAAATGAAGAAATGATTGCATTCTTGTTCAACATAAACAAAAGTTAATGCATATGTATCCTTCAAATATTCACATTTTATACAAAATAAGTTATCAAAAGGCATTTATAGAGACTGATTGCAATTGACGTTGCATTATTTCAAATATGAGGAGAAATATTTGCATTTTAAGCAACACGTTTAAAAATTTAGTATCTTTTCCGTAAAATTCAGTATATTTTATGAAAAACAACCAATCCTGATGTACAAAAAGTACTGAAATCGTATGGCAGTTTACAATTTGTATTAAAATAAAGCAATAACTGCATTCTTATTCCACATAAACAAAAGTTTAAGTATTTTAATTCTGATTATATCTAAATTCTAAAAAAAGACTTATCTTGAGGCCTTTAGAATAACTAATTACAAATAATATAACATCATTTTTCATCAAAAGATGAATAATTTTGGTAATTTCAAACAATGCGAAGAATATTTTAGTATGTATTCTCTGATATTCTTTTAATTTTGTGAAAAACAACTAATCCTAAACTATAAAAAGTACAATAATCCAATTGCCGTCAATAATTTCTATTAAAATGAAGAAATGATTGCATTCTTGTTCAACAAAAACAAAAGTTTATGCATATTTGTCCTTCAATTATTCACATTTTATACAAAATTACTTATCTAAAAGCATTTATAAGGACTTATTGCAATTGACATTGCATTATTGCCTATATGAGAAGAAATATTTGCATTTTAAGCAACGTGTATACACATTAAGTATCTTTTCCCTAAAATTCAGCATATTTTATGAAAAACAATCAATCCTAAAGGTACAAAAAGTACTGAAATCATATAACGGTTTATAATTTGTATTAAAATAAAGAAATAACTGCATTCTTATTCCACAAAAACAAAAGTTTAATTTCTTTTAATTCTGATTATATCTAAATTCTAAAAAAAAGACTTATCTTGAGGCCTTTGAATTAAATAATTACAAATAAAATTGCATTACTTTTTATCAAAAGAAGAAATTAGGGTAATTTAAAACAATAGTTAAAACAACTCTCTTAATCAACACAAACAAAGCTCTAAGCATCTTTACTGTTATGCTATTTTTACTTTTATCATCTAGTGACATGAAATTGCTAAATAGAGTATTTATTTTAAATGATAACATTTTATCGCTTATAAGTGGTACATAAACATTCTGAGCATATCATTATTCTGCACTTATGTAATTATTTAGCTCAAATTTAAATAAAAGAATATGAAGTAATACATATGATGCGTGAAAAGTAATTTTTTCTTTTTTTATTTGTTATTGCAACCAAATGTATTACAAATTAACGAGTAGAAGTGTCTTCGTAGAGGTCCGCGTTCATCGAATGTAAACACTGTTGAGTTTGGTTTACATAAGAATTTTAAATATATACGTATCCGTCCGATCCGTGCATACAATTAATTTTATTGATCGATCGCTGACCGTTGTCACGGTAACTCTCACATAGCTTTTTTGACTTATCTGACGGATTCTATGGGTCACCGATCACCGATCACTCATCGATCAGTCAAACATCCGTCACCGATCATTCACCAATCAGTTTAGTTCACGTCAAACAGAAACGCCTAAGGTTGCAAATACTGTATCAGTTGATATTATCATATTAAAGGAACGGAATGTTTGAAGCAACATATGTACGTATCAGTCATCAGTTATATGGTTATATAATATTCGTAGTCAATTATTAATTATTAGCCATGACTTGAAAAAATCTATCTTTTTTATGATTTGCTCTTTAAATCTAACTGATAATTTTTGAAAATTTATCTAGAGTATAACGGCATGGCAGGGTGATGAATGACGCCAACATGAGACAAGTTTTGGTCATCTAAAACATTGACAGTTTTGAGCTCAATGATAATAAGGTTTTCGTTATTAATTGATTTGCATCGTCGTATATAAAGCGATATAACTGATATACCAGAATAAATGATTACTTATCTCAATTTAATCAAACTTTTGCAATCGAATATCATTCAGAGACAGAAACCAAAGCACCAGAAAAAAATTCTACTACAGAAGTATTACGAAACCGTGGTATCATTGGAAAGTTAAAGAAGCTATTTGGTGTTCAAAGACATGTTGATGAAATAAAGGTGGTTATGACAAAAGAAAGATTTTGGGAGGAAACAGTTAAAACTGGAAAAACGAAGCTCCATCACAGGAAAATAGCTCCAGTGATCATTTGGGACGTCGGAGGGCAAGATGTATTCTATAGTACCCACCAAACGTTTTTGACATATCGAGCTATTTACTTGCTAGTTTTGGATGGTAGAAGAAACCTTGATGATCCATGTATGTACGAACAGTATCTGCCTGGCAAGAGTGGTCATAAGACACCTAGAGGTAATAGTAATTTGTCAAGGATATATCAATGTCTACTATCCTAACATCTATCAACATTTACTGTGACCCTCTCCCCCTCTCCCCTACATTTATGCATATTTATTGTTTATACTATTGGTTTGTAAAGATTAATTACATGTCTATTACCCTAACACCTAACAACGTTTAAGATGAACCGGTTTCTAGATACACAAACACATATTAATTGTTTATATGTATGTGTGTGTGTGTTTATTTGTGTGTGGAAGTCATTAAGAGTTTCTACATATATATTCTACATAGAAATACCAGGCGTCTTCCTGTCCATCTGTATGTACGTCTGATCTTGTAAGCGCTCCAGTGTATACAATTCTTGTCCATATTTTCATGAAATGTATCCAATAATACTTGTGCATCTCTTTACTTCGGCTCAACAGAGAGTCCCTCGTTGGAAACTAGGCAAGGCTATGTTATCTGATTGATGAAATATTACTTGTGAACAGTTTTAGTAAATTGAAAGACTTTTTTGTCTGTTCATAAAAAAAAAAATTATAATATTTATAATAGATATCGCCGCGATATAGCCTCTTTGTGCTAATGCAGCGTAAAGCAGTCACCAATCAATCAGTCAATTTTTGAAATGTATATTATCAATGTCTATGCAAAATTCGAAAATCAGTGCCGATTAAGCCTGTTTAACATGTTTAATAAGATATGTCCTTTGTATGTATAAATCTTCTGGAAAATTGCTTTAAAATGTTGTCAATAGATATAAGAAGATGTGGTATGAGTGCCAATGAGACAACTCTCCATCCAAGTCAAAATTTATAAAAGTAAACTATTACAGGTCAAAGTACGGCCTTCAACACGGAGCCTTGGGTCACACCGCACAGCAAGCTATAAAAGGCCCAAAAAATTAACTAGTGTAAAACCATTCAAACGGGAAAACCATCGGTCAAATCTATATAAAAAACGAGAAACGAGAATTACTTATGAACCACATCAACAAACAACAACTACTGAACATCAGATCAAGTCTACATTCTGTTCCTTTTTAAGAAATGATAAAAATGCGAGATTAATTGTTGCGATTTCGTTACAGCTACTTACAAAGATATGTATCAGAAATGATCAAAATAAGAGTTACCATTAATGAGATGCTTTCCTAGTCGCATTTTTGTATTAATAAAAACCATGCAATGATTTCTGAATTTACAGCATACCAATAACGGCTCGGACAAGTTAGAAAATCGCTGCCATTCTTGTACGGGAATTTTGTTTCTTTGACATGTTTGAAATGCTACTTATATTGAGTATTGCATTGTAAACATTTTCAAATCTGCATTTTATGTTGTGTTTATATGCAATGTATATCGAAATATTACACTCTAAACACATTACGTAGTAATGTTTTCTTCACTTATTTTCAGAAAATATATAGCTTGTGAATTTACTTACTATGCGTGATGAATTACTTGAAATTAATAAACTGATCTTTGAAATCAAGTTAAGTATTAGCAATAACTAAAACTTGAAGTACAATAAACAAAAATACTTTTTTTACAAAAAAAAATGTCTAATGAAGAAAATAATATACTTAAATATCTGTTGATTATTATAAAAACTACTACTTATAACTAGGTATCCTCTATATCGTTTATATGTAAAAGTTAATCACTTGCATGTTTTCATCTAAGTCATCATTTTTGAAATGTTCATGTTCAAGTCTGAACATATCTTAACGTGATTAAGCTTAGCAACTTTGGTAATTACTCATAATGATTAAGTGTTACTAATGAATTTAAAAGCTCTATAATAAAAAATTGATATACAATGAACTTTTCACTTAAAAACGAACTGATATAATAAAAATAATTTGGTGTTAAGTAATGCTAATTTAAACTGACATACTTCAAAATGTACTTAATCAAACTGTTTTTCTACTACTCGAGTACCATGATTTAACTATATATTAGCTAAGAGATGTATTCGATAAACAATAACACAATACATTCCTCGACCTCCGGGAGCTTCATTATCCGCTAGGGTTACATTGAGAGATTATGCATTTGACAATGGATGCAAAAATACATTTTCTCCAAAATCATGAATATACAGACTTGTCAGTGTAATTTGTGATATAGCTCTTTTCCGTATCTTTAAACCAGAAAGCTCGGAACCTTTACATTAGTAAAAAAGGAAATTTTTTCAATTTCAATTTACTAATAAAGGAATTGATGATGTCAACATCAGCCACGATATTCACAAAGAGGTAAAATTAAAATATACTTTATTTTCAAAATCAATGTCTTCCTATTGTATCCTACAGTTACACCACAATCATTGCACCTAAAGTATTTAACTATAAGCAAGCATTGCAGGACCTTGATTTAGAATAATACGTAGAAAACCCTTTGACATTTGACTATTCGCACGGTCTTATATTTACAGCCCGCTGGCTATGCTATTTCTGGGGATTTAAACATAAATCAGCATGAACATCTCCAAAATGTGATTTCTCATGGACCTAAGTTCACACACCAGTTGGAACCATAACTTCAAAACAGTTATGAATTCAATTGAGGACTACGCAAGAGCATTGGCTAAACAAAAAGTTGTTGAACAAGACCCTTTCTCAAAATTGGTCAAAACAATCAGTTGAAACACTGTGTGAATGATCAGAGACAAAGAAGCTGTGAAATTTCTATCATCTCTTAACGATAACTATGTTGTTGTTCCTGCGGACAAAACTTCAAATGATATTGTCTCTGTATTTTAATCGTACTACCACGAAGGTCTAGTAAAAGAATTAGGAATAAATGACCACTCAGGTAATCCCACATACACACACATATCATTTAACAAGGATGAGATTTTTGCGAATCTCAAGTCCTTCATGAATTTAATGATCATAACATTGAGCGACCAATCTGTTAACTTGTTTGTCTCGGACAATGACCCGTTTTCAGCCGGGTTCTTGAGCCTTCAGACTTTTAAAATAGGAAATAATAGATTTTATATTAAGTGATTTTCCTTTAAAATACAGCCAAATTTATAATTCTTCAATGACAGGAAGTTCAACAAGCTGTACTAACTGTCCCATTGATTGAACCATTACGTGCATGTCTTCACTTGACTGCTTTTTGTCAAACACACTGTTAATTAACACCAATCACCTTAGTCAAAGGTCAAGATTAATTTGTGTATTTCAAAGATGTTTGGCAACAAATTCAAGTTATTTCCCCTTTGTTTACCTATTTTCACATTATACTCCTGAAATCGATGTTTCTTCGTAAAAGTATTTAATTTAAGACAAATTGAATGCAAAGATATATAAAATACAAAATGTAGTACTTAAAAGGTTTTAAATATCTCAGGACAACTAGAACATTAATATTTTTTATTTTTTTTTATTTCATCTCTTCTTTATGGCGTTATTTTCTTTTTCAATGGAAGTCATGATCTTTATCATCTTCAGAGGTTGACAAGTATGCTGACCCCTACATTGTATTTATGTACTTTTTAATAAATATACAAATTTACAAACGGACAATTTCGGAAAGGCGTAATAGTAATCATGCTACTACCAAAGTACTAAAAACTGAACTGATGATACCCTTTGTGACTGATAGTCCATCAGTAGCGGTATAAAGCCACTGCTGTAAAAACTGAATTCACCATTTTTAAAATGTTATACATGGTAAGCATTTTTCTGGATTAACCCACAACCGGAACTCCCAAAGCCAAATATTTGAATATTCAAGGTAAGATATATACATGTTATAAGAACTGAAACAGTTTGAGAGCTGTATGACAAAAAAGGACCTAGATAAAAAGCAATATTTGCCTACGGTCGACTTTGCCCGAGATAGTTCCTTTATAATTTCATAATATATAAGTGGACAACCTAAGAAAGTTTTGTTCTAAATCATGTCAGTACCGAATTTCTGGATTGATGAAACCCAGGGGACTTGATATTCCACCAGCGGTAATATCGATCCAGTGCTGTAAAAATAACACTTTATAAAATACATGCGTCCGAAGCGCATTTCTGGATTAACCCTTATCAGGTCACTCAATGGTAAATATTTGAAAGCTTAGGATTTATAAGATCAGAAACAGTTGAAGAGATGTATTCTCCCAAAGATGCAAACATTTAGTTTGGAATTGATTGTACCTGTAAGAATCTTCCTGCAAACAGGATATCATATCCTCATTTTTACGGTGATGTTGTTTACCGAGCCTGTAAGTCTAAATACAACCTAGATAAACTTATTGATCCATTAAATATAATTTTTCTAAAGGGTTACCAATTCAACACTGCAATTGGACTATTGTTATTAATTTGATTTTAAAATCAGTTTATTAAATCAAAGCTGAATATCCTTTCCATACCAAATCATGGTCCTACAATCTGTCTGTATTTATATTTTGACATTGTGCGAGGTCATATTTTTCTCTGACGTTTAATGAAATCTTTACTAAATCCATTTGATGTTGGATGTGTAGTGATTGATATTTTAAAATACATGATTATTATTTTATTTGTTATTGGCTTTCAACTATCTTACAGTAACTGCGAGTACTCTTAGATCGTTTATACGTGTCTTCTATGTTTAATTAGTTTTTGTGTGTATGATGTATCGATCTGATAAGTTAAGCAGTTTTTTTGTACTCTTTCACAACTTCTCAGATTAATTGTGAAGGTTATACGCCACCAACATGTACAACCCCGCCACATTCTGGAGTTGCGTGTTCCAAGTCAGGCACCTGTAAATACGTGGTTTTGTTTAGCGCCCTTTTATACTTTACAATGCAGTTTGGGTTTTGCTCATTACTGAAGGCAGTGTGGTATCCTATATATTTTAATTCTTTATATGGTCTCTGTTGGAGAGTTGTCTCATTGCCAATAGTACCACATCTTCTTACGTTAACGTTACAACTTAATAATATTATATTATAATAAATCAATTATAGCCTTAGTTTTCATATTGGTTGAAACATGTTTCAAACTGCATCTTAAGTCAATATACTTTCTTAAAATGAACAAACACTTGTTTTGATAAAATACATGTGTTCACTGATGTGTAATACTCATAGTTATCACTTATACAAAATACAGTTTACTGTAGCTACTAATAATATTTGGAATTACAAAGACGTATCACTCGTAATTACTGAATTATGTATTACTAGAAATTATTAATTTTACTCAAAATTACTGAAATAGAGGTCTCGAAATTACTAAAAGAGATTATTTAAGATTTTAACGAAGATCTCAGAAATAAAATACGAATTTATACTAATCAATACTAATTATTGCCATGATTACTATAGATGATCAATAGTTTTGATAAATTCAATTACTTTAATGCATTAATTGAATTATTTATTGTTGCATTTCTAAAGATGTGTAATGATTGCATTTATGATAAATTTGAAAAATTTTAAGGACAATTCAAAAAATAAGAATTCGACTATAACTCAAACCAAATATCATTCTTTTCATTTCCATTATGTTTTGTTTACCAAATAATTATCCATGTATCATAAAAATATCTTTTTTTACTTTAAATTATAATCTTGATTTTTTTACTCTCATAAAAGATCACAATTTATGTTCTTTCATTACTTGTGCATGTTGTTGGTATTTATGCAACATCTTTATTATAGACTACCTGGGATTTTGGATAAACACCATAGTCACATACTGTAAGGAAGTGGACCAGGATTTCCAAAAATTATGATTGTCCTGACTCATAAGGATAAATTGAATCATGTAAGTTTGTTAATCAAAATCTGTTTTTTTTAGTTGATATGTTCAATGAAACGTTAGTATGTGAGATGATGATTTTCTGATTTATTTGCATAATTATCTTTGTAAGAGATCTACCTTCGTTGAACACAAAACTATAGCGATATTATTTGTAATGCTAGTTACTAGAAAACATTATACTTTTCTTTGCCGTCCCTAATATTACAAACCTTCAATCAGATAAAAATGTATGTGATTGTCCAGATACTACCAATTGCTTTTTCTTGCTTAGACCATGGTAGACTCACTTACTGCTAAACAGTAGTGAACACTTATTTTAAATGAAAAAAGCAAAAAACAGTCATGTATCATTAAACAAGTCCTCAAGTTATTGTAAGTAGTAAAAATTACACATGCATATATGTCATTAAGCAATTGTAAAAAGTATTTTATGCACAGTGTGGACCAAATTTAAAAACTTTTCAATATACACTTGTAGGGAGGGGGTGGGGGTGTTGGGGGTGTTGGGGGGGAGGGGGTGTAGAACATGCACTAGAATATTAGAAAAAGCTAATTAACCAGATTCAAGAGGAGATGTTTATTTACAGAAGGATGTTGAATCCAGACGTCAACAATTGTTCCATGCTATAGAAGATATGTTTTCTGGAAGTCCCTTGCTTTCGCATTTAGTTATTAAAGACAAAATTTTTGTAAATGCAAAGGACAAATGTGATCAAGAAATGCTGAAGATTAAAAAGAACATTATCGAACAAGCCATTGAACAACCAACATGGGGTCAGGAACTTCCCAAATGTTTCATTCCTCTTGAAGTAGAATTTGACTCACTTCTAAGTCGCAACATTCCATTGATAACCATGGACCATATGATGAAGATAAATTCTGCTCAGCCCGTTCGACCACTTACAGATGAAGAATTGAAAGTATTTCTTAAATTTCAGCATTCTGTTGGACGGATCTTGTATTTTGACGAATCGGGTTTGGATCAACACATCATTATTTCACCGACACACCTGATTGATGCCTTTAAATCAATTGTTACTGATAAAAGATTTTGCAAAGGCGACAGACTTAGAAAAGTATCATGGGAATTAATGAGCCAGAAGGGAGTAATCGCAAAAAAATCAGTAGATGAAATCTGGCAGAAGAAACCATACAAGTCTTTTCAGAAGCATAAGGGTTATTTACTGGGAGTCATGACACATCTTGATATACTGGTTGAACCAAAGCGATATGATAAGACGCACAAACGTACACCAGCTGAATTCTACTACGTTGCTAGCATGGTTAAAACCATTGATACAACTGGTTATCTTAGTTCGAATAATTTCATTCAGAGAAACATTGCAATAGCATTTAGTCCATCTTCTTCAATGATTCCCCCAGCTTTGTCCTTTAGATTCATCAGCTACTGCTTGAGCATGTTAGCAGTGAAAACATACGGACAGCAAAACGATGATATGTTGTTTCATAGGTCAGCGGTTTTTAATATAGACCAATCTTTAGATATGTGCGTTAATTGTGATGATGAGATCATCGTTGTTCGTCTTGTTCACCGAACGAATAGAAAACTTATACTGAGAGATCTAGCATCTTGTATAAGGGAATGTTTAGCTGCTGCACTGGGGAAAATTAGTCAGCTTTACGTCAAGACAAGCAGTACAGGATCTGTTATAAATGAAGGGTCTTTCAATCTGAGTTTGTGTTGCAGTTCACCGGAAGATTCTTGTCTCCTGCCAATGTCAAAACTTCAAGAAAAAGATGGTTCATGGATATGTCCAAAACACAGAATTGAGCATAGCAAAGAGATTTTATCTTCCTGGGCCTTAAAAAAGGTAGATACCAGTTCTGAACAAGAATGTAGTTATGTCTTATACAAACAAGTTTCTTGCTAATTTATTATTCAATAATTTGTTTGTGTTGCATTCCTTTAATTAAGCTTCTATTACTTTTATATGATACTACAAAAAAAAAACATTACCTGGATATACTAAATAACCAGAGGTAACCGTGGAGATGCATATTTCTGAATATTTTTTTTAGAAGAATTGTGGTTCGTCTTGTTCAACTAACGAATGTAAAACTCATAATGAGAGATCTTGCATCTTGTATAAAAGGAATGTTTAGCTGTTGCACTGGGGAAAATTAGTCAGCTTTACGTCAAAACAAGCTACATTTTAACAAAGTTATGCAATGTGTCATTATTCTCCCTACCGTTTTCAGCAGCCATTGGTTTATATCCAAACTACGGTTTTCTGGACAAGATGAGATGTGCTTTTTTTTCTCCTCTTAGCATTCAGAATAAGTCAACCATAGTTTGATAAAGTTTGGTCATCATATACAATTTTTGAAACTAGCATATTGTGCTTTTTAAATATTATAGACGGGTTTATCTATAATTGACCTAGAAAACATGGGCGCATCCATTAACATCTCACGTGACCGATCAGCCATTGCAACCGTGAAAAATAACGCACGTGTATTGATCAAAACATTATCAATTTTCTGTTTATTTGTATTTCTTTCATTTTCTGATTTGTTTTAATATGGATACTGCCGAAAGTTATGAAAATGTGGAGGCATTTCTTGTGCAGTTAATAGTTGTACAAATAACCGTAGATGTGGGAAAAAAATCAATATTTGAATTACACAACGAGTTGCACAATGACTGCCCCTCTGCCCCTGTTTGATTCCATATAACATGTTACTTGTATAAGTCTCATTTGATGCCTTCTGACGAGCCAATAAAACTTGAGTGGATCAAAGCCTTAAGCAGAAAAACTTTGCATAAACAGGTGTTTGTATGGTCCGGACATTCATTTTCTGGATGGTGCACCGACTGCACACAATCCGTTTATTTTTTGAAATAAAACTTGTTATGAAAGTAAAATTACACAGGCAGACGAATGTTGACACGTCGTGAAACGACTGTAAAAAAAACTTAAATTAATCTATGAAAATTAATCCGATGACTACAGTGCATCTGCCTCTTTTGGTATAGAAAATCGACACATCAGATGCGGATCCAGGATTTTGAAAAAGGGGGGTGACGCGGGCCCCAAAATTAGACAAAATTCGTACTTGAAGCGGTAAGAAGTTTCGATTAACCATAAATGTAGCTCAATAAGGGGTGCGCGGGAACCCCCAACCCCTAAATCCGCCGCTGCACATTTCTTTAGATAATAACAATGAAACCTACCCCGAGGCTACATGTAGTTTTAATTGTAAGCAAATCAACCCAGTATGAAGAGAAGAACTTTTTTATTCATGACCACTATTTTTATGCTGCAAAATAGACAGACATTAATTCCGACAACATCAACTCAGACAAAAATATTGTTAACAGAGGTATTAAGGAGTTCAAAATTAAATAAAAGGGGGGAACCATGTCAGCGTATAGATATATTATGAATGACATTGACGCCTTATTGTATACTTATGTAACTATATATATATTTATAAGTTTTCTTTACTTTAGTGGAATTACTACACAAATTAAATTTTCAACTACGATATAGCAGCTAGATTAGCTGTTGCTCGATCGTACTGATGATCGAGGTGAACACTTAGTTTGATATTTGGTTATTTTGGACGGCGCTTTCACATTTCGAAAAGTAAGGCTTGTAAAATATTTTATTCCTGGGTGCCAGTTCTTGCTGAAAACCTTAAAGGTTTTACAAACAGCTGCATCCATAGACAAATCCTAGCATAACTTACTATTAAGGGCCCTTCCCTATAAGCCTCATCTTAATGGTCCATATACATGATATATGTAGGCCTGTGTGCTCAAAGTATGTATTCACTTTACTTTCGTTATACGACGTATACAGTAACTTCTGTTGAAACTTGATTTGAACTTTCCTCATTATTCTGTGCATGAATTATAAAATTTTACACATCAGAAAGAATGTTTCAAAGGTCTTGGTAATCAAATAGTTTACTAGAACATACGGACCACAAGCACAAAACTCTCGTCTCTGCATGTGAACAAAGTTTATCATCAAACGGTACATGTCTATAGTTATATTTTTTCAATAGAGACAAGTAACTGCGCGTCGGAGAAAACGGGCTGTCGCATGATAGGACCGTCGGATTAGAGGATTGTTGAATTTTAGGACTGTCTCATTATAGGTCTGACTACAGAAATTTCTATGATTTGATAAAATTGCACCTGATTTTTCTAATATATCTCATTCGACCCGGCAAGACAATTTATTTTTATTTATGTATGTGTTATAATAATCAATAATGATAATAATCGATATGTAGCCTGGGATTAGTATTCGTATATATTATATCCCGGGTGTAACGTACAGTTATATTTTAAGGACAACACCTGGCCTGCAATACACTTATAATTTTAATGTCCATTCCTTGTCTAATTACTTTATTGTTTATAGCATTTATAATTTTGCCGAGGTCAAATACGCCTTCACATTCTTGTGTTTACGTTAATTATATGCGGTCTGGGAAATAGATGTATATCTAGTTTATATTTTTTCACGGTTGTAATGGCGACGCTACTACGATGACGCCTAGGAGTCGCGTCACAAACTAAGGCAGATAATCGGAAAAACCTGTCTATAAGGAGGACAGTTCGAATAATTTGAATGATAAGTAAACTTTACTGTTCAAAAATATAAACAGATGTGATGATGTAGTTTACAATTGTATGAAACCGAATTGAAAAAAATGTTTGTCTTAATAAAATTGTAATCTCTGATTCATTGATTGAAAATTTGAAATAAGTAGATGTAAAATATGCATTATGTAATTATTATTCAAACCGTTTTCAGCAGCCATTGGTTTATACCCGATTTTTGTTTTTCTTGTCTGTTGATCGTCCGTTCGATCATGGGTTTAACTCTCCTAAATCGAGTAAATCTAAATTTGATACGGTAGTTTATATTATACAATGAAACTGTGGTCACATTAAATTGGATTTGTAATATTGCAAACGGGATATGTTAGTTGTCATATGAACATATATATATATATATAAATATATATAGATTGCCTAACAATGTAATTTTAACACACTATTTAGTATGTAAATATAAGAATGTTTAAAATATTTACAAAATGATGAAAATAAACGCAATATTTCGCTAGACTAACTAGCTTTATCAAGCGTGCATCTATCCAGGTGAAATCGGATGTAGATGATAAGAAACTTTTGCAGCTCAATGTATATGTTGCACTTGAATTTAGCTGCCTTGAAAATAAAACATAATTTGGATGAAGTTCAAGATTTTTACAAAATTGGTAGTTGAAGTTAGCAACGTCCATTGGCCAATATTACAGGATAAAAAGGACGATGTTGTGTACTAAATTATTCTTTATCTTTCCTGTATCTTTTCTCATCTTTTTCGTTAAGACCATCAGGTTCTAAAGTGTGGAGTTGGTGGATCCAAAAATTTTCTCTTCTCCTTCTCGCCGTGGTGTCCCACTCGGTGTTGACTTCTATGATTTGGAAGGTAACATTATCAAAAGAATGTTTCGTTGAACGAAGATGTCTTGTGAGAGGACAGTTTTTGTTGGTTTTGATACATGAACGATGGTTATTGAGCCGAATATTAAATTTGTCCATTGTTTTTCCCACATACTGAATGCCACATGTGTCACATGTTAATATATAAATTGAGTTCTCCGTTTTACAGTTGGAATTTGAGTAGATGGTATAATTTTGTTTAGTAACGGAGCTGATGAAAGAACTGCTTGTATTGGCAGCTTTACAACACAAGCAGTTCCTTCGACCACATTGTTTGTAGCAACCGGGAGATGGAGTAGGCTGCTTTGCTAATACAGATGTCACTAATTTGTCACGGATGTTTTTAGGTCTTCTGAAGGCCATGACTGGTGGTGACGAAAATACTTTTTTAAGATTTGAATCATTTTCTATAATTTTCCAATGCTTCTGAACAATGGAAGACACATTTTTAAAATCAGGATGGCAAGTGAGTACAAGGGGTGTTCTGTTAGCTGCTTTATTCTTATCTTTATACTCTAGAAGTTCTTGGCGACTAGTTTTGTTTGCTCTTTCGAAAGCGCTATCAATGATGTTGTTATTGTATCCTCGAACAACTAGATGTTTACGTAGTTGTCCTAGTCTAGCATTTTGCGTATTTTCAGTAGAGCATAATCTCTTGATTCGCAATGCCTGGCTGAATGGGATGCCACGGGAGCAGTGTTTAGGATGGCAACTTTTAGGAGAAAGGAATTGATGTTTGTCCGTTTGTTTGGTATGAAGGTCCGTTATAATGGTTCCGTTCTTGATGTAACTTGTAGTGTCGAGGAAGTTTATTTTCTCCATAGATAATTCATATGTAAATTTTATTGAATGGTGGAAAGAGTTACAGTGTCCTAGAAATTCATTCAGATGTTCTTGTGAATCTGTCCATTTGAAATCAATATCGTCAATGAATCGGAACCATGATAAGGGCTGGTATGGAGCACTAGCCAAGAGGCGTTTTTCAAGTTGGCCCATAAATATGTTGGCATATGACGGGGCCATTTTTGTGCCCATACTAGTACCGTCTATCTGGAGATAATGTTTTTCATTGAAAGAGAAGTTGTTGTTCTCTAGCACTAGTTTCAGAAGTGAAACAAGGCACTCAGTTGGAGGATTTTTTTCACTACGAGTGTTCTATACCTCTTCACACGCTGCTATTCCTTCGTCTTGTGGAATGTTGGTATATAAAGAAGACACGTCCATGGATGCAAGTATAGTATTGCTTGGTAGAGGATTGAGGCTTTCCATTTTCTTTAGATAATCAGTCGTATCTTGGATGTAAGAGGGTAGTTCTTTCACATGAGATCTTAGATGATGGTCTAC